TCAGATTGAACATTTCTGGCAAGAATAATACCTAAATGGTGCAGTGTACTTATTGCGTCACAACTGTGGATGCTATTTTTGTTAACATATTTAATGTGCTACCAGATCTCCTCACCGTCAATGAAGTGTATCTTTCCCCTTTTTAATTGGTAAATTATTTGGAAGTGATACTTTGAGACCATGTCCCCACCCCCAAATTTTTCACTCAGTGGTGTTAGCATGCATTGATGATCCTTGCCTGAATCAATTTTTATGAATTGCAAAACGGTTATTTTTTTCATTTGATCATTTCTTCTATGTTTACTAGTTGGCACTTTCATTTTTAAAACAGTTGTCCTCACTTTCTCTCATATCAGTATAGATTCAGATTTGTTTTTCATGTATTATGACTATTAATTATTCTCATGCTCAAGTCGTACCAAATTTGTCCGCCGGAAGCCCCTTCATCCAAACTCCTATGTGTTTTCAACACGACCTCACCAGTCTCTGTGCAATTCCCCTTCCCGGCTCACACACACGCAAGCTACGCCATACTCGCCTTGAACCTTCCCTGCCCCAGACCTGAAATAAGCCATTGTTTACAAGGAGTCCTGATACCTGCTAGTAGACAATGGTATGTAAAAATCAAGAACTGAGTATCATGCAGTGTTTACTTTCATGAGGCCTTTACACTGGACAGTCCAGGTTTTCCTCTTTTTCTTAATCATCGGTGTATACTGATACTTCTCAACTTCATAGGGGCTCTTTCTCACCCTCCCCTGTTCCATGTTTTTACCTCCCTTCTCCCACAATGAAAACTGATTCCCATTCACACCAATATCATTACTCATTTGGTCTTTCCTACAACACACACACACACACATACACACACACAAATAATTTCACACAACCCCAACAAGCCCCTGAAGTAAACTTCAAGATTTCTTTGCATTTGTCCTTGTCCTTAGACTATATCCTATTAAGGATATAGAATCAGCATGCTGTGTTCACAAGCAACTTGAATTATATTTTCTGTGTATGTTTTTACTATGTATACACAGTTGACTTCATTTGGTTCTCTTCATATTTGATTTTAGGGTCTATTTTTTTATCTTTTTTGTTTACTTTTAGATTATTAACTCTTGGGTGCTTCCAGTCTTTCTCCATCCCTGTCAATAACAGGTGCTAGTTTTGCCTGTCAACCTCTCTTTCTGCAGTTCTGAGGATGGGCCCATATACCATTTAGGATTTCTTGGGATCTTCCGACACATAATTACAAAGAAAGGGGGAGAGAAAGCAATGCAAGAGGTGCATGGAAGTGAATCGGGCATGAGAGAGTTCCCTTTTCTTTTAAAGAGAGAAGCACAGGAACAGCTGCAGTAGGTGAGAGAAGCAATTGAGAAAGGGTCTTCAAGCAACAAAAAAGAGCTTCAGCACAAAAGGAGAGGCCACTTCAGCTAACAAGGGAGGTTCGGTAGGTTGGGAATTTAAGGTGGTCTGAGTCAAATTCTCCACTGTAGCTCATTCCAAATGTTTACATAGCACTCTTTCCTAACCAATATCCGAACTTCCTCAAAAGAGACTATATAAAGCTATGAATTAAACTAATAAAATTTGGCAAGCTTGAGGATCAAACGTTGTGTTTGGCTTACAACTGTGTCAGTTCTTCAACAGTTCTTGCAAAGTCTTACAGATTTTTATAGCAGAGTCACAGAAAGTCCCTGAGTTTTAATTGACAACTTAAGCTAATAATTTAGAAATCTTAGCTTGTTATTCTTTTATTCTTGTTATTCTTTCTTTCTAACCCTAACAACCCGAACCCTAACCAAATCAGCATTTAGTAAATCCCAACATTCTACCCCAAGCATGTGGTTTTTAACAAGATAGTGCTTCATAACGCCATTAAATGTATGTTTCATTTTTGTGTTTATATTAGTAATGCTAATAATAAATATTATGTTACATCCTGTCTAACTTAGCACGAAGTGTCACCTGCTAAAAGGTGTATCATAAGATTTTGGCTAGAAAGTACATTGGTCATCATCTTATTATGTCCTTGTTTTACAGAAGATCCCAGAATCTGAATTGTTTGCCCACAGGGTTAGAACACAGAATTTAAATTCTTTACACTAGGGATAGAGTGGAAACTTAGAAACGAGTCCTGATTCTTAAGTTCAGTGCATTATCTTTTTTTCATCTCAGTCTTTTAAAATCTTGATTTATACTGCAAATTGTGTATCCTTTAAAACGTGGCTAATTGCAAACACTGATTCTCAATCCCAACACAGCAGAGTCACCTGTGAAATTTTAAAACAAACTGATGCTGGCACCAAAGCCAGAGATTTTTTTTTATCCAGCCAGGGTTAAAAGAACCATTAGCAGATATCAGTGGTTCTAAAAGTGTGGTCCCTGAACCATCATGATCACCTGGTTAGAAATGCAAAGTTTTAAGGTCCACCGCAGATGACTGGGGAGGAGCCAGCAATCTGTGTTTTGCAAGCCTCTCAGGTGATTTAGATGCAAGCTAAAGTTTGAGAATCCCTGTTATTTAATATAAAACTTTTAAGTTCTTACCCTTTTTTACACACAAAATTTAATTTACTGTTGTCTAAGAAGAAAATATGCTAATTTTAAAAAGAAAGAGATTTGCATTAAGAGTAATATAGTACAGTTCAATTTTTCCAGAAGCATGCCATCATAAACATTCAACAAAGTTCTATAGTTAGCCAACAGAAAAAAATGCTCTAATGGAAGGATAGAGAATAATTTATTCATAGGCCAGTTAATAAGACCCTGGACTGTTCTTGCCCAGACCAAGTTTTCCAATCATATTTCATTATTCCGGCTTCTTCTGATCAATAAGGTACCTAAGACATAATAAGACCTTTACCACATCAGACCTTTTGACCCAGGAATGACACTTCTGGAAACAGGAAAATAAACCATCCCTCAAGATTTTCTCCAAAGCACTGTAAATAACGGGGGAGGGGACCCTGGAAAGTTACATACGCAACCATTGGGGAATGACCCATAAATTAGAAGATCAACAGTACAGAATATGGTTCAATCATTAAAACGATGCTTTTCAGATGATATTTAAAATAATACAAAAAAATGCTTTATAACGTCATGTACACACACACACCTCTCACTCTCTCAATTGAAAACAACACAGTACCAAAATACTAATGCTGGTTATCCCTGAGTGACAGGATTATGAGTGATTTTTAAAATATTTAATCAGTGGTTTTAAAATTTTCAATAAGAGTATGCTTACTCCATTAATCAGAAGAAAATCTACAAATATGTAAAATAACAGCTTCTGTTTTGTGACTTCGAATCTTCAAATAAGCTTTCAAACGATGATAACGATGGGAAACGGGTATCTTTTCCATCCTACTCTACTTTTTCCTCCCCTCGCTCCTTCCAACGCTTCCATTTCTACTTCTTCACATCGGCCCTGCCACGACCCTGGACTGAGATACCAGGAAACCCAAGTGTAATTATTCAATATTTTAAAGTTTTAAAACTGTTCAGTTAAATAGTTTATCTTAGATCATAGGAAAAGGAGGTAAAATAGCTCAACAGCTAAGAGAGCCTAAGGGCTTCAAATCCGGACTGATGGAGGTTTGAACCTTAACCTGCCACTCACGGGACCTCGCGCCAGTTTCACTTTCCTCATCCGTAAAATGGGAGCAGCACGCCGCCCGCCGGGTCGCCGTGCGGAGAAAACGAGCAGCCGCATGTAAAGCTTAAGACAGAGGTAGGGGCTTGTCTGTTTTGTGCTGCCACAACAGAACACCTGCGACTGGGCCATTTGCAAGGAACAGAGATTTATTTCTTGCAGTTCTGAAGACCGGGGGAGCCCGAGATCAGGGGCCGGCGTCCGGCAACGGCCTTCGTGCCGCATCAGCCCCGGGCGGAAGGGCGAGGGGCCGAGGAGAGGGGGAGGCCCGCGGGCCCAAGCCTTCGCCTCCGCGGCAGGCCTGGCACGGGGATGAAGCTTGCGACACGTGCTTTTCAGGGGGCACATTCAAACCCCTGCGGCGCTCAATGGAAGGTAACTGCGGTTACTACTTTGTAGTAATGCTATTGCTGTTTTTGGTAAACGGCCCCCAAATTTTAATTTTCCTATGGGAAAAAAGCTTAGTGGGGTAGAGCGGCTATTCACAGTCATTTGAACTTCCCAGACTACTAAAATTTCAAAAACAATCTGGGACACCTACATGAAGCTGTCAAAAATTTTCTTTACAAAGTGGATGTTATTAAAACCCCACCACTATTACTGTCACTATTTTTCATAAAATAAAAAGCATTTCAATACTCCCTAAAAAAGAAGATAGTCTCAGAGTAAAGGAATCCTTCCCAAGAAGGGACAGTGGGAAACTAAATGCATGCTAAAATTATCCTTTTTTTCATCCTGTCACATAGTAAAGCACTTAAGGATTAACACTGGAGTGCAAACTGGCTCTTGATGAAGGATACTTTGCTTGTTACCTGATCCTTCATCTGTGAATGAAGTTGTTCTAGCTACCTCACGGAGGTATTCATTCGACAAACACTAACCAAACACCTATTATGTTATTAAGTAGAGGAATTCAGGATCAAATGAGGTCTAGTACATGAAAACACGACATACACAGTGCCTTGTACATTGCAAAGCATCATAAAAATAAAAGGTATTATTATTACAAAAAGTACATTACATATTGATTCCCAAGAGAAAAAGAGATTACTCACATGTTTTAATGGCTTAGAAATTTTCTACATTCATGCTACACAAATGGTGATGTGCAGAATTCTTTAGAATGCACATTTTCCACATTTTTTTAAAGAAAATAGTCATATTTATGATGTAGCTCATGACTCTGCCATTCTCTGCCTTATGGGAACTGAGGATGTAACTATTCCCTCAGATGGTTATGGCTCCCAAGGGAAAGTTATTAAGCTAGACGTTGTTGCTATAATTACCAGTAGCAGACTCTGGTTTCTAAGGAAGAAAATGCAACAGGATCTAAAAGGCAGGTTGAGACACAGGGAAATTTTATTTTCTTATTCGTGAAATTGTGTAAGATTTTTCAGTGTTGAAATTCACTTTCAAGTATGATGGTCAAGAAATAACAAGACAATAAGACATCAAGCATAGAAATTATGCAGTTTTATAATTTTCTCTGTTGCTTCTTAATCCACTAAAAAATAATTTCACAATTCAACACATTTAGGCAGCTTCTTTGCTACTTTCTTCAGTTTTTACTTCTTTAGGCAACAATGGATCAATCTTTAGTAACAAACCTTCACTTGTTGAACTGCGAAGGAAAGCACGTACCACAAAGGGACCTGAAAACAAAGACAAGAATCAATCTTGATTTTATTCCATAGATACCTAATGAGCAAATATAGTAGGTCCTCAATTAACGCCGACAGGTTCTTGGAAACTGTGACTTTAAACAAAATGAATTGTAATGAAACCAATTTTACCATAGGCTAATTGATAGAAAAAAGAGTTAAGTTTCTACAGCATATTTCTGGTCACAAAAATATCATCAAACTTCTAAACAAAGATCCAAAACACTTCTAATATTAAACATTGAAATAAATGTGACCTATACATACATTTAAGAAAGATTAATAAAAACAAGTAAAAAATTATTTACCCAACTTTGGGTGAATCAGTGAGTGATAGGAGTCATAGTGGTGGTGGGTTAAATCAAAGAATAAATGCAAAGGGAAACTTGTAAGGACCACCACCACGAAGTTCAAAAACTAACAGATATGGCGGACCCGCTGAGTAGCTTTTGTACGGCACCATTTACTGTCCTGCATTTGTATGATTATCATACACTTTACAAATTTTTATTTTACAATAATTTGCATTCATTCATTCATTATTTCAATCCAGCATCTGGGCGGCCAAAGCCTCTCCCAGCAGGGTGCAAGGTGGAAACCAGCCCTGGACAGGATGCCGCGCCACCGCGGGGCCCACTCACCCCCACACTCACTCATCCTGGGACAAGGCAGACATGCCAGTTAGCCCAAAGTGCCCACTTCTGGGATGTGGGAGGAAACCAAAGTACCTGGAAAAAAACCTTCACAGACATGAGGAGAACATACAAACTCCTCACAGACAGTGGTCCAGGCCAGGAGTCAATTTTTTTCTCATCAACGTTATGATGAAAGGATATTATTTGAGAACCTGCTCTAAATATATATAACAGAAAACCATATAGGACTCATTTCATATTTTCACTTGAAAAGTACTATATTACTGAACTAATATTTTGAATTGTAAGAAAGGGAAGACAATTTCATTTCTAGAGTAGAAGACAAACTAGATATACTCTAGAATATTAGAGATTTGTCTTTGAAACTACACATACTTAATAATCACTTCTCTCGTCCAGAAAACGATCACCCAAAGTTTATTTTATTGCAGTCAACAGTGAAGGTAGCAGGTGGTGATACTTACATTTGATGGAAATATTCTAAATGTTTGTTTAAAACAGTACAGATGCTCCCTTTGTGTTATCAGTTGGCAAAAATTAAAAATCTTTTCATGAGAACAATGTTAAGGGGCTTCATTTAAAATGGAAAAAAGAGAATCACAACATTGCTTAGAGGATTTACTATCCATCTTTCTACCCTTGCTACAGTCTCAGAGGATCCTATACCGAAATCGAAGTTCTCCATGGAATACAAGAATTCATACACAAAAAAATCACTAAGTATTATGGCCATATTTAGGACAGTAGAGTTAACAGATGAGGTACTTATTCATCAGTGTGTTTAACTCCCAAAGAAGGTGAAAAATAGCTTAAGATTGTGTTTTAATTATAAACTTGGTTATAAAACTAAACCTGACAAATTCCTATCATAGTAAGCCTATAAATCAATTGAGTATAATCGACCCTTGCTTGGCTTCAACCATCCACGAGTGAAACCTGTCTAAGGAAGAAATCTGAATGGCACATAATGCAAGGATAGAGGCACTAGACTGACCGTGTTCCAGCCAACTACTGCTTCCACAGCTTGGTCACGTTTACAGATTTACCACGCATCACCCCCTTTATAAGTGACTCTCATGACATAATAAAAATGATCTTCTTTCAGGTCCCATTTATTTATTTTTATAGCTGCTGTGATTGCTTTGGCGTTCTTCTTCATAAATACTTTGCCTAGGCCAACGTCTGAAAGAGTCTTCCCTACATTTTCTTCTAGAATTCTTAAGGTTTCATGCCTTAGGTTTAAGTCTGTTATCCATCTAGAATTGATTTTTGTAAGAGGTGAGAGGTGGGGATCCAGTTTCAATCTTCTGCATGTAGCTATCCAGTTTTCCCAGCACCATTTATTAAAAAGGGATTCTTTTCCCCAGTGTATATTTTTGTCTGCTTTGTCAAAGATTAGATGAGAATACGCGGATGGTTTCACCTCTGGATTCTCAGTCCTGTTCCAAAGGTCTATGTCTCTATTCTTGTGCCAGTACCGTGCTGGTTTAGTTACTATATAGCTCTGTAGTACAGCTTCAAGTCTGGTAGACTGATACCTCCCAGTTTGTTCTTTTTGCTTAAGATTTCTTTGGCTATACGAGGTCTTCTCTGGTTCCATACAAAGCATAGAATTATTTTTTCTATATCTGTAAAGAATGATGATGGTACTTTGATAGGGATTGCATTAATTCTGTAGATCACTTTAGGTAGTATGGACATTTTAACAATGTTGATTCTACCAATCCATGAGCAAGGTAGATTAAAAAGCTTTTGTACAGCCAAGGAAACTATCATTAGAGCGAATAGACAACCTACAGAATGGGAGAAAATATTTGCCCTTTACACATCTGATAAAGGGCTGATAACAAGAATCTATCTAGAACTCAAAAAAATCAACAAGAAAAAATCAAACAACCCCATCAATAAATGGGCAAAGGACATGAACAGCAACTTTTCAAAAGAAAACAGAATAATGGCCAGCAAACATATAAAAAAATGCTCAACATCTCTAATCATTAGGGAAATGCAAATCAAAACCACAATGAGATACCACGTAACTCCAGTAAGATTGGCCTTTATCAAAAAAAACCCAATGCAACAAATGCTGGTGAGGATGTGGAGAGACAGGAACACTCTTACACTGCTGGTGGGACTGCAAATTAGTGCAACCTCTGTGGAGAAGAATTTGAAGATACCTCAAAGAGCTACAAGTAGAACTATCATTTGATCCAGCAATAGCAGTATTAGGCAACTACCCAAAGGAACAAAAGTCACTTTATAATAAAGACATCTGCACTTGAATGTTTATGGCAGCAGTATAGCAAGGATGTGGAAACAACCCAAGTGCCCATCAATCCATGAGTGGAGTAATACAATATGGTATTTGTATACAATGGAATACTACTCAATTATAATAAACGATGGTGATCTAGCACCTCTTATATTTTCCTAGATAGAGTTTGAGCTCATCCTCTGAAGTGAGGTATCATAAGAATGGAAAAACAAGCACCACATGTACTCGCCATCAGACTGGCACTGACTGATCAACACTAAGGTGCTCACACAGTGGTAATATTCTTTGGGGGTAGAGGGGTTGGGTAAACTCACAACTGATGGATGCAGTGAGCATTATAGAGGGGGAAAGGGGCACGTCTCAAATCATGGTTGGGATGTTGCAAAGTTATAACATGTAACCAAAATGTTTGTATACCCATAATATACTGGAATAAAAAAAAAATGACCTTCCTTTTCTTTTCTAAAATAAGATTAAGAAAGACAATTGCTAGTGCCAATGACAAAGTGAATGTCTGGCTTTACAAGGTCATTTCATAAATTATTTTAGTTTCTATTTAACAGCATTATATGTTTAAAGCAATCGGTTATGGTTTTCTTTCAAACTTTATTACAGTTAATAGTAAAAAAAATGTGGGATTTTACAAAGGTTTCAGGATATACTCCTTATTAATGCTTAAGAGGTCTCCTCTCTAAACAACTACATTTATAAATAAGGTAATTAGGAATCCTTTGAGGAATTAAATTTTACTTATTTAATCCCTGGAAATACTGTTGCTGTTGTATGTCAACTTGATTGATCTCTTAATATTTCACATTTTTTAAAGTATCACAGGGCTATAGGTAAGTCCACCCTCAGCAAATCACTTACCTAAACTCAGTGGTCTGTGCCTACAAACATCATTAATAACTGCTTGCAGATTGGCAGTTATCTG